TCAGTGACGATACCCAGCCCTAATGATGGATGCTGTGTTCCAGCGGCAGCACTCAATAAGTCTACCAGCAAACCTGACTTTCACTACAGGTGATGCAATCCGCACTACACCCTCGACCCCTTCTACAGAAGTGTTGAGGAAGAGGCCCAGGGACAGCCAGGCTATCCTACCGTTTTTAAAGGACCAACCAGAAAGAGAGGAAGACAGCGAGAGACAGGCTCTAGCTAGGGAGCATGAGAGGGAGAGGGCAGCTACTCAAAGGGCAGAGTGATATCTGTCACTATTTGAGAAACTTGTTGACAAACTTTAAATAAAACACTTTAAATGTCAAATGTGAAGTGAGTTTTTTTTCTGCGTACATAAAATTCAACCTATACAATTACAAACATATGAGGTTTATAAAGAATAAACAAATATACAAAAAAGAACACTTAATGCACACTATTTACAATTTGAACAAATAGATTCCATACTCATACAGCAACACTAATTAGGAGAAAAATATGTACCCTTTTTTTCTTTAACCAATAGCAGGCTATTTCTTGTGGCCTTAGCTGCTGTTTGAACATGACTACATCATGCAGGTAAGCTGTTCAGGAGACACTTGTGCAGCAAGCCTGGCTCAGACACAGGTTCCTGAAAGCTTCCTGTCTGCACCTGTGCCTTCAACTGTTTCGGCTTGTCCTGCTTGCGTCGCCTCCTCTCCTTCTTCTTGGTAGACATCGTGTGTTGCCACACAGATATTATGTGGAGGATGCAGCAGGCCCCCACAACTTTGGGAAGAAACAGAGGCCGACCCTCAAAGGCTCACAAGAAGATGGAGTGCCAGCATGTTTTGAGGATGCCAAAAGTAGGATCTATAACATTTCTGGCCTTTGCTGAGCTCTGGCTCTGCTAGTTTCACTGTTTCTCTGTCGGGGAATTCTCTCACACTCAAACTGTGAAATACGCACCACTCCAGTCCACTGAATGGCTGTGGAAAATATGAAAGAGGACATAACTTTACACATTAACTTCTAACAATTTAAGCCCAAAGAGTCATCCTGAGAAATGTCATTTACTATGCAGCATTTCATTATCATGTTAAAAACAAACAAACAAACAAACAAACAAACAAACAAAAAAAACCCCACATACTGCTTAAGTTGCTGCTCTTTGAGATTAAAAGATCTCATTACATTAACAGAAACACTGACATCCCTGCTCTACAGCTTTGCATTCAGGGGGTGTCCTTGTCACAAAGATCAATTCAGACACTAAAATCTTTTCAATTTTCTTTTTTTATTAATTTAAATTTTTTCCAGATGTCAAACACAAAGTATAAATATCAGCACCTTGGATTATTCTGCATTAAATCTACTGCGATGGCTTAAAAAAAGTTGGAGGTCCAACAGCTTTGTATTGAAGCTCCCTCACACCTATAATTAAAATTTTAGTGTTGAAAATAATACATTTTAGCTGTCAATACAAATGTCTGAGAATCTTTACCAATGATGCACCATTACATTTTGATCACTTCAGCTGTTGGTTATCGGCAACTGCAAAAGTTACCAGCCTGGCAGAGGGCAGCAGAAATCTAATTTAGATTTCATCAAAACAAAGCTTCTAAGAAAGTAACACGTCTATGACCCGGATAGAAAAGAACCGCAGACTGAATACAAAGGATGGATTGTAGCCACTGAAATAAGAAAGAAAGGGCAAGCCTTTGCTGTTCCAGGACAGCAGGAGCTGAATGTAAAGGAGAAAAAGTGGAGGGTTTGGATGCTACGTCCATCTTTCACATACGGTCTATCATCTAAACAGAGAGGCAAGTGTATAACTGACCTGCAACAGTCATCTGATGAGACACATGTTTCAGGAGCTTTTTAAAGGCGACGTATTACACAAACAGCCAGATAAAATGAGCTGTTATGAAGAGTGTTTAAGAGAATTTCTGCTCTCCACTGGTCTAATTGCAGCTTTGACGAAAGTCAACAATCATTGTCTTACCACTTTGTTCAATCATCATCATTACATTCATGAACCAGGCTTAAAGCAGCTGGTATTCTTGTTCATCTAAATATAACAAAAAAACCCAGAGAGATAACATAAACTGATTAATATTACTATCAATTTCCCTTCAAGTCCATCATACATAATCAAAGCAAACCCTGGAAAATAACAACCTAAAGAAAACATTGGTGATATAACTGCAATTGTGCAATATTTAGAGACAAGTTATCTGCTGTGGTCACACAATGCTCTTACAACACTGTAATAAAACTTAACTCATGGATCAACATGTGGCATACACCAATCAGGCACTGAAATTTTCCATGACAGAGGACGTTTGTTCTATAAATTATTACATTATATCTCCAAGAAGGAGCTGAGGCCGCTTTTACCTTAATGCTACATAAAGTATAGTTGTGTAGCGTTTAGGGAGTGGGTATGTTTTGGACAGCTAAACCTGAGGTTTCTTTGTGAGCCACTTCCTAGTCTTTGTGGTTTGTTGAAAACGAAATGTACAGTGGCTGCAGCTCCTCTCTGGAACCACGCTGTTAGACAATAACTAATTACATTATTTCTCCAAGAAGGCACTGAGGCTGCTTTTAGCACGGCGGGCCTTCTCTATGCTCTCAAAGGTTGGAGTCCCTTGAGGTAACTGTAGACGGTCATTTTCAGTCTCCATGATATCCTCAGCTTCCCCTAAAGACATCATGAAAAACACATTTAATGGGTATAATTAGTGACTGCAATATTTTTTAAAAATGCAATTAATGAATATCTAAGCAATATTTTTTAAACATTTAGATGCATTATTTGGTAAACAGTAAGGTCCATTTGGACAGAGACATTTTGGTTCTGTTCATTACCACAATTAATTTTAAATATAACAACTTTAAATATAATTAACTCAGATCCAGTTGAACTGCCGACTGTCAGCCTTAATTCAGTGGGTTGAACAAAAAGATGTGAGAACTAAAATGCAATCCCATCATTTCAGGACATCAAAAGTAACTGGACAAATAAAATAACATTTATTCATTTGAATCTTGCTAATGCAAGCGCCACACCTCAAATCAACTCCAGGGCTTCTATCTGCTTAATTGATAATGACATAACAAAGGAAGTGCCCACACCTGCCCATGAAATAGCCTTTCAGTCAAATGTCCAATTACTTTTTGTCCCTTTAAAAAGCGGGGGACACATGTTAAGGGGCCGAAACTCCAAAACCTTCATCCGATTAGAATGTGGATTTTCTCATACGAAAGCTGGGAGTCTACACATTATATAGATGCCCATCATAGCGGAAAGTGGAAACTGTTTTGGTAAACAGACACTATTCACATATTCAAATATATATATGGACCTAACTGTATATTAGAGCCTGGGTTTTCTGGATATAGTGAGTCTGTGTTCTGCTGTTCAAAGTAAAATAATCCTCTAAAACCAAAGCAAAGAATCACTATATAATGCTTGATAAGGATTTATTTACCCAGCTGTGCACCCTCTTTTTAAATGTTAAACAGGTTTCCTTAAGATGATGATGCCTATAAGTGTGTAGCTTTACCTCTCATACGATTAATAAGCGTTCCATAGGCGCTGTCCATCTGGTAGGCAAATATGAAACTGAGAGGAATGATAGGAGCCAGCAAGCCTGGGTTCTTTCTTTTAATAGCTCTAAAGAAAAATGATGATAAATAGAAGACAACATTTAACTGGAAAGATAAAAGCACAACACAGAGATGAATCTGTGTGTGTTTGTGTCAGATCTCACCCTGCAGTTAGTCCCACTGTGGCCACTGCAAAGAAACTGCCAAAGTATTTCAGAAACTCTCTGGACCAGGCGATCTGCATCGCCATCTGCCGCTCTCTCATCTGGTTCTGCATCAGAATCTGGCGCTCCATCTGGGCACATGCACGCGAGCACACAGACACACAAAAATAAATTAAGAAGAAATTATGAAATAAAATTTTCCCTGCTTGGTAAGATTTCATTTTCAGTTATAATCAATTTCAGTCAATTACTGTTGATCAGAGCTGTAATAATCATCTGATTCATCAGTTAATTGTTTTATGAGAGTACAGACAGTTTAAAAGAGATCTCCATAAGCACCAAAGGCTTAGTACTTTTTAAAAAAAGCCCCTAAAAACTTGTAGGAAGTGTACATTACGTGAACAGAGATGTGATTAGTTGGGAGCCCAGACAAAACTTCTATGTATGCTTGAGAAGTTTCTTTGGAATTTTTGATAAGTCATGAAACTAAACCCTGGAATCCACTGCTGTAAACATGCCAACTACAAACACTACGCTCTAGGGAAGGAGGAAGTGACAAACTTTTCATCTCCACAATCTGGGTGTTTCGTACTCCTGACATCGACTCTTGGCTGTACACTCTTTTAGTTCAATGGAAATTACAGGAGTGACTTCTGTAATTGACAGTGTTTGTTCTTTTAAAGCCAGCGTCCGCTGAAACAAACTAGTGAGTAATCTGAGCACACTTAAGGGTGTCCCCCTTTAATGGCACATGCTGTGAATGAGTGAAGAATGCAATTATGAAAAGAAAGCATTTCCCGCTCCTCCACACCATGTGTATGAGCTGCAGGAACGGGAAATGGGGTGACACGATCGCTGAAAGGTCAGCTTTCATGACGGCTTCATCTGGGTCACAAAAGAGGAAGTAAATGGAAGATAGAGGATGTTAAATTTGAATAAACTATCCTGAAACGCACTCCAGCATCTAAGTACATAGATGCTGCAGGGTCTCCATCTTATAAAAATGAAGCAGTTCAATATGCCCATATACACAAATACATAACATAAGTAAAGATCACTGCACATCTTTTCTGGTCAGCCACCGGTTTCACATTATTAGTTACAGTTAGACTATTCCTGTCAGTCTGCATTATGTGAACAAAATGATTTTAAAATAAATCTGACAGCATCGTGCATGCTGATATTAAGCTGCATAATTATATCTGTTGCCACCATCACTGTGTATTCACGAGGACAAGAGGTGCTACATTTCTTGAACACTGTTCGTTTTACTTGTTTGTTGCATCATGTAATGAATGCTCAGCTGTGCTCTTATTTCTACAGGCTCCGCTATCACACAAACCCTTGGCAGGTCCTCCTTCACTATATCCACAAATCTGTTGTCTTCTTCTTTTCCTCCACCCTGGCAGCTCCATCTTCTACATCAGTTATCTATTATCCCTCCTGTCCACAGGTCCATGCCTTTTAGCTTTATCTCCAAAGCACTCAACCTGAAATGGCCCTCTGATGTACTCATTCCTAATCATGTCCTTCATGATCACTCCAAACAAAAAAATCTTAACATCTTCAACTCTGTCACCTCCAGTTTTCCAAACCACACATCATAGCATCTTTATAACCTTTCCTTTCAGTCTGCAACTATCCATCACAAATTACCGCTGACACTCGTCTCCACCCACTGTTACTTTGGATGGTTGGATGCTATTTAAACTCATCCACATTCACTGCTCCTTCAATATTCTGCCAAATGACTCATGAGTGTTTATAATAATGAACACTTATAACAACAATAATAATGATAATGTGTCATCTACATTAAATACTTCAGGGTCTTTGTATAGCATTCTTTACCATTTTCTGTTTCTACAGGCTGTTTGTATGGGATAGCTACAAACCCATAAGTGATAAATTAGCACTATTAGTGTAGATGTGTAATTCAAAACTAGACAAACATATCTGCTGGTGGGAATATCAAAAGGAAAAGATTTGGTTTTGGCAAGCTCAGACAAGCAGCAGACTGTGACTCTGGGACAGGACTGTGAGGGGTGCAAGTATGAACACAAAGCGGGACACTAACTTGAAAACAGATGCACACAAATCATTATGATCTACACATTGGAAGAAGGGAAAGAAACAGATGTAAC